GTTGGGGGTGGACAAAATTTAAAATGAAACTGAAAACAAAATCAAATTTAGCTGAAATAAAATACAATTTAAAAGACTTAAAAGCATACACATCTCTACACATACAGTAATCAACATTTGAAGTGGATCAAAAAAGTTTATCAAAGTTGTCCTGAGACAAGAACACATTTTGGTTTTAGGTTTTAGGACAACTTTGATGAAAGGTTTTGATCCACTTCAAATGTTGACTACTGTATATTAGGGCTGTCAATTTTTTTTTCGAATATTTCACATTCGAATGTTGCATTCGAATAAGGGCCGGATTTACCTCTTTTCGTGACATAGGCAAAAAAAAATTTGGGGCCCCCCTTCCCTATTAATATAATAGGCCTAATATTACCACTCAAGCAAACAAAAATATTTCTTAATCAGTGGAAACCGTTACAGTGTTTTCTATCACAATAAGCGCTTGCGTTCAGTCAATAAAAATCCAATGTAGTTCTTAATTTGTTTGAGAACTGAGAAAGACCGTTCCATTAATAGGCGCGGCGACGTGGCCACATAACCACTTCAGGAGTGCATTATTTCTATACAAATTTTAATGGCTGGAGTCACAATCACACATCAATTGTTCAGATGATTTGTTTCAAGACATTTGATATGTTTCCGTCCTGAAATATTGTGTGTTGAACTAGCTAATTTTTTAGGCACCTCATCCCAAACCTTTTCCATTAATAGGCGCGGCGACGTGGCCACATAACCACTTCAGGAGTGCATTATTTCTCTAATAATTTTAACGGCCTGGAATCACAATCACACATCAATTGTTCAGATGATTTGTTTCAAGACATTTGATATGTTTCCGTCCTGAAATATTGTGTGTTGAACTAGCTAATTTTTTAGGCACCTCATCCCAAACCTTCCATTGCAAATTCCAAAACGTTATTTTAGAGCTAATTACAGAGGTTTGAGCCACTGATATGCAGGTTAATGCAGTTATTAATGCAGTTTAACTCAGTTATTAGAAAGAGAGAGTGAAAGAGAGAGAGGGAGAGATTAAGTGCGTGTGAATACTTGCATCTGTGCGTCTCTCAGCAGTGTTCAGCAGCAGCAGCGTCTACTAATAGCGAATCTTTAAGTTGAACTGCATCAAGAACCTCTCTACTGAGAAAAGACATGTAGCTTTTCAAGCTGCGAAACTCTTTTATTGATAAATTCGCGGGTCAGCCGCAGCTCTGACAACAAGTTTCTGTTTGCGTCTTCGCATGTGTGCGCGAGTGCGTGTCTGTACTGTGTGTGCGTCTGTGAGAGAGAACGGGAGAAAGAAAGCGTTATTTCCGTAGCCTGCATAAAAAAGGTGAAAGACATGGAAATAGTTTGCCATTTTTACCCTATTGTTTGTTATATTTATTTGCTCAATGTCTTCTGGGGTTTTGTTTTTTTTACTGTTGTAGACATCCCATTGTATAAAAAAAATATTATATAGCTCTTCATTGTGTTTGGGCCCCCCCTGGATGAGTAAGCATAGGTACGTGCCTAGAATGCTTATGCGTAAATCCAGCCCTGATTAGAATTTTAGGTGTGCGTCAGTGGCGCATGAAATGCGACGACAATGTAAGTGTCATTGCATTTTAATGTTTTTAAAAATGTAACTACACTTAAAATGAAAACAGATCAACTTTAACTGAAAGAAAAGAAAATAATGAAAATAAACATTTTATTTTAGCTAGCTGCCAAGAAAAATAACAAATATAAAAATGACAAAAACACAACAAATCTCCCAAAAACAAAGAACTTAAAATAAAAACAAAAATAAACTTAATACAATGTAAAATAAAATATTTTAAAAAACAAATATTTTATTTTAGCTAGTTGATAAACAACAACAACAACAACAAAAAAAAGACTAAAACCAAAATTAAAATGAAAACAAAATAATTATATAAAAAAATAAAACCGATTGAAAATAATAATAATAAGCACTATAATAGTTTCTCAATAGGCTCACGGGCGGGTTCGTTCCAGGTCTGAACAGTTCACGGGCGTATCTAGCTTGAAAACGATGATGTATTCAGCAAACAAGGGTGGAGGCGAAGGCGTTTACGTGTGATTATAATCACAAGCGATTCTTGACTGATTTAACACAAACCAACTTTCAGCGCTCTGGTGGTCCTACACAATATTCATACCAAGCAATTAAAAGACAAAGCAGGAGAAAATTACTCAACACAGAGATCTGCATTCAGTGAAATCAGACACGAGCCGGGCAAAACTACAGAGAAGAGAAACTGAACGAAAACATGATGTTCAAAACAACTCCTGCAGTCCGACTGAAGCGTGTATTTGAAGAAAACAATGACACTGGAGCGCAAAGTCATAAAAACCGTAAACGGCTGTTATGCAATGGAGAGTTGGAGGTCGCTTTGTGTGTATAAAGCAGGGTTTGGGTGGGATTTCTGGAGAGTTATGCCACAAACAAACACCCACAGGAAAAGAGCACATCCATCAGGACTGCAGCACAGATGCATGAGGCTCTTCATGAGAGATCAGCTCAAACACATGCACGTCTGGAGCCAGAGATGTGTTTCTAATAAAACACCACTCCACCCACACGCACACGTTCATGCTCTGCTTGTGTTTGCGGGAAATACACCACCCAACCGCGTCACATCTTAACAACTGAGAAAAAAACCAAAGAGCTGATTACATTAAACATACAGCTTCTCAACAAATGCACTCTCATGCAACTACAAAATAAGTCCAGGATGAGAAAAAAAGCTCAATGCAATATGGAGATTGAGATGGACGGTCATGTAGAGCAGATCTTCTGGACAGCGAAAACAGATTTCATGTCTCGAACCAGAGCACAAACACAGACCGAAGTGACTGCTAAAGATGGTTTAATAGTTCCCGGGATCCAGAGAGAACAGATCAAGCTCCTTATTGATCATTTTACACATTAACTTGTTTTTACACATGGTATGTAGACCACTTTAAGCATGAAGTTGGAGCTCTACTATTCGATTGTTACTTAAACAGTAAAAGCTGCTGAGCTTTTATGATGTCAAAAAAAAAAAAAGAAAACTGTTCAGTTGACAAAAATCTGATCCAGGGTCAGTTTCTGCCTTTCACATGATTACGACTGATCTTATACAGACTGATGGATCTGATTCTGGATCAGTCTACTGAGAAACTCTATGTATAAAGGCCTGTGTGGCTATACTGTATAACCCACATCACTAGCACAATCTACACACATACAAACTACTGAATAAACACAGCACTGGATCAGTCTAAACACTAAACTACGAGACGTATAAGTGCATTTACCTGCGATATCTGATTGAATTTGACCACCAGCAACAGGAGGAACTTCAAAATATGGAAAAAACATTAGAAAAGTGCACAAAAAAAAAGAACAAGCCCTATGACGCATTTCAAGTGGGCGACAGTTTGTTTGAGCGCCATGAAGCCAAATGTGGAAATTTTGAACACAAGTTAACACATTGTCGTTTTTTAACCAAAACAAAAGCCTGTTGAGCTGCATAGCTAGAGAAATGGGTGTATCAACTGTAATCTCTTCAGTGATGATTCACAACTTCAGGAATTTGTCTAAACCTGCTTTACAAGTAGCCTAATACTGAGACTCACACTAACGTAACTCTGAGACTGAAGGGTGAATTTTGATGTAATGATGGCAGCGCTGGGTAGTAACTGATTACAGGTGATCTGGATTACATGTAATCTAATTACAAGTATTTGTAATTCGATCATATTGCACGGTGAAATACTCACGGTGATTATACGATTACAATTACATCATACACACATTAAAATGCACAAATGTACGTTATTTCTTATTTACATGTAATGCAGGGAGTCTCTCTCTCTTTTTTGGGGGGGTCAGCTGAACCTCTTTTACCTAATATATACTAAAAAGCCTCATTTGTCACATGACATTCAGGTAAACAAATAAAGTGTTTCACCTTTTTAAGCAATTGTTTATTTGAATGATAAATTGATTTATTTTTATTTGATTTGTTTTTGATTTCATTTATTATTTAATGTCATTACGGGAAAAAAAACCCTTGATGTAATAGTCAATGCACTTCATGTTATTAATAACAATACATAGGGATGTAACGATTCACTCAACTCACGATTCGATTCACGGTTTTGATTTCACGATTCGATTCACGATTTTTTTTTTTTTAATTAACAAAATGAGATTTAAGACAAATTAAATGTGTCTTTTTATTATTGCTTGGACAAAATGCTGCACATTTCTTAGTGAAATTGAAATATAACACTATAATAATATACTAATATATCACATGCATATAATTACTCTTTTGTTGGTTTTGATTGCTTCTATTGTCCTCATTTGTAAGTCGTTTTGGATAAAAGTGTCTGCTAAATGACTAAATTTAAATATAATGTAAATGTAAATGTAAATTTTAAAACATGCCCGAAAATCAAATAAATAACACAAATCAAATAAATCTCTTCATATAAACAAACTAAGGCTTTGTCTGTGCTCTTCCCATGTAAAATTAGAGGCAACCACTGCATTTTAATCATGATCCAAACAAAGATGCAACATTAGCAGTTTTTAATCTAAATTAGATTGTATAATTTAGAAATTTGAAACAAAAACAGAATGGTTTGACTTCAGTTTTGTGAAACTATACATAAAAATATCTGCATGAAACCAAAACAGCAGACGAGCTGAATGAGATGCAGATTCACTCTCTGCCAGCAGGTGGCGCTTAAAGCTTTTCCTTGCTTTCAGCTGTAAACAAAGCAGCGCTGCACTTATGAACTATAATATGCGTTATACAGAGGCAAGATGAAAAGAAAAAATACCATCTAAACTTTTCTAAAGACAGTAACTTCCCTTCAGACATGCATTCATATAAACTCCTACCCCTAAATGAAACGCGATTTGTTTAGCATCTCAACCGATTTGAATCGTCACGTATTTGAATCAATTTTCAACCGGCTCGCGGTTAATCGTTACATCCCTAACTACACATAGAATATATTTTCTTCCTTTTTATATTTTTATATCAATATGGCACAACATTATCCTATTTAAATCAATGTGATATACGAGCTAGGTCAAAAGTAATCTAAAAGTAATCCAAAAGTAGTCTGATTATATTACTTAAAATGTGTAATGTAATGGATTACATTACCGAATACTGTACACTTTTTGTCACGTAATCTAAAATCAGTAATGGACTACAGTTTGTAAGTAATCTAGCCAGTTCTAAATGATGGTTTCATGAAGATGTTTGGCTGTGAAAGATCAACAATTCCCACTCATAATTACCTTTGACATACGAGTCCCACTGTCTCCTGTAGCTCAGATCCATGTAAACATCTGCGCAGAGATCTGGAGCGCAGCCGGTCAGAGAACCGAACACTTTGTACTCGTACAGACCCGTTTCCTGTTGAACATGACATTAAAGACAAATGCATCACAAAAACACGACCCAGATCACAGCCAGAGCCTGTAACGCGGAACATGATATACATGACTCACATGTGCGCTGTTATGGATGCACGAGAGGGGAAACTGATCCCGATGCATCAGTCATGCTTGCTTTTGCTTGTATGCTTTTACTTAGAAATCATTAAAACATGTGGATGTGAAGTCAGTGAGGCAAATCACCTTACAGAACTTTGAAATACTATGTATATATTTTATAAAACACAATGAAATCAGTGAATTTATAACACATATTGTGGTTTCACACACATTCATACATATATATATATATGAGACAAAATTTTCAACTCAAGTGAATATATGTCAGGGCTTATTTATTTTTAAAAGCCAATTTCTTATATGGGGGTAAGTTGTCACAATGAAACCTGCAATTAAGCAGCACATAAAACAAAAATATTATATACAAATAACGAAATATGAGGTAATACATGACAGATGTGCAAGGATAAATGGGGGGGGGTGAAAGATTTGGAAATCGAAAACCATTACTCATAATAATTAATACAATATGTTTTAAAAATATGATGATACTGGAATTTCAGTTTAGAGGACAGAACTGTCACAAATTATTCTAATTCAAAAACTAGAAGAGTATGTTGATTCAAAGAAAACAACTGTGTATTTGGACATTTGATCAAAATTATTCTATTCATTAAAATACATGGAGTACGACAACATGTGTGTCAACTTGCCCTGGTCTCCTCTATTATGCCTTTTATTTTCTAGAAATGTTTTAAGAATGTTTAGCATCACTGAGATAATAGTTTTATTAATATTTATAGTGTTTATTTTTTATATTTTCCATTTATTTTATTTAAAACACTTTTGTGTTTTTGTCATTTGTATTCTTTTTTTTAATGTGTATGTAGTTTTTATTCATTTTTATTTCAGTTAGAATTTTTTTTTGTACATAAAGTTATACTAAATATAAACTGAGATTTATTCATTCATTCATTCAACGTTTACCCTTATGTCTTTAGATTTAGTTGTACAATAACCCTGGAACACAACTTTAAAGCGAGTTTGAAGCTTATAAATTCGACCATTATGTTATCATTATATAATAATGTATACAGTATTACGTACGGTATGTCCAATACTATATAGAAGAATGTATGTCCTTTGAGCATTTTGTACGGCAGTTTTGTTTATAATAATAATCAGAAACAACCACTGCAATATGTTAGACAGTATATACTTCGTTGTTGTTGTGTTTAAGGTTGCAAGGCATTGTAAAGCAGAAGGCAGGTCGCTTTGCTGCATTGTTGTGACAGCGCGTGAGCGTCGTGTCATTCGTCCTATATTCACCTTGTTGTAAAGTCGGTATATTTTGACGTTCATGGTCTCGGTGAAGAGCTCCCATCCTCCGTCGAGCTGCGGCTCGTCCAGCTCGGTCCAGGCCTGCTGGATCTCCTCATCGCTGAAGAGCAGAGCCATGCTGCTGCGTCCACCAGTCACGTGACCGACCGCGGGCGCTGCAGACGTCAGAGCGCAGCTGACCGCGAACCACGTGCTCATGCGCTCATGCATGAAGCTACACTTCAGTTCATTTATATATATATATATATTTTACTTCGTATTTACTTTGTACATTTTTTTACATTTTTTATTTTTGTATTTTATTTAGAATTATATTTGTTAACATATTTAATATAATTTATTATTATATTGTTTATATATTTTATTACATTTCACTATAATTAATAATACTAGATATAATGTAGTAATACATCATTTTGTATGTTGTATGTCGAGATAATTTGCAGTCAGCCACTTATAACCACAAAATAAACATTGACAGGGTCATCAAATGTATATTTGGTTATATATTATTAATCAACAAGATAATTCATTTTTTATATTTATTTTTATTTTATTTAGTAATTAATTTCCTTTTTTTTTTGGAATTGTTTTTTTCTGAATATCTCAATATAATACTTAATTTATGAATAAATTAATTGTATATTTTATGTTGTACCACAAGTAGGACATAATCAACCGGCCGTTATCTCAAAATAAACACTGATATATAAACTATATATATACACAATTAATCAAAGAGACAATTCACTTATTTGATTTTTTATCTAACATTTTATTTTAGATTTATTTTTATTCTATTTAGTATTTAATCTACTTTGTATGTGGTTATGTAGCATTTTTGTTTGACTTTTTTTGTATTTTATTTCCATTTTTATGAAGATTTATATATCATATTATAATTTTGTTTTATGTTGTAAGAGATAATGTACAGTCAGGCAGTCATTATCTCAAAATACAACCTGACAGATGATCAGAACACCGACACGAGGAACGGAGACAGAGCAGAAGTGTATGAGCATCTGTTAGTAACCCAATACTGTAACCTTTGTTGCCATATGATACTCGATACCTGCAGACCAGCTCAAATATGTATACTCATAACAGGCCTAACAAGTCATCAGAAATGGACAGCGTGTCACAATATATATCGCTATATTGTTGCTATAGTTGTGAATTTCCAAAGAAGCTTAACCATATCAACTCAAATACACCATACAGTCAAAATGCTTTGTCAGTCACATGAGATCAGAGCGATGACCATCACCGCGTGGTGCATTGAAGACTGCAGACAGCACCCTGTATCACATTACAAGAAAAAAAAATAAAAGAAGAAAAACTCACTGGATGCTTGAGTCTCATATGCATGTGTTTGAGAGCAGAAGGCAAATCACAAACACATTCAAAATGTAACGGGGCTGACAAGACGTTAGGACAGGGCTGTCCAAACTCTGTCCTGGAGGGCCGGTGTCCTGCAGAGTTTAGCTCCAACGCTCATTAGACACACCTGAACCAGCTAATCAAGCTCTTACTAGGCATAGGAACTTCCAGTCAGGTGTGTTGAGGCAAGTTGGAGCTAAACTCTGCAGGACACCGGCCCTCCAGGACCGAGTTTGGACAACCCTGGTCTAGGATCATCAAAGAACAGTTTGACGAGAACTGCATAACACAAGCTCAATCGTTTGCTTCAATGCTGCAGAACTTGCAGCCAAATGACGAAACTCTCAGCAGCCTCTGCTGTCAGTCACATGAGATCAGAGCGATGACCATCACCGCGTGGTGCATTGAAGACTGCAGACAGCACCCTGTATCACATTACAAGAAAAAAAATAAAAGAAGAAAAACTCACTGGATGCTTGAGTCTCATATGCATGTGTTTGAGAGCAGAAGGCAAATCACAAACACATTCAAGACTTGACTCATGAAGATCAGCTGTGACTAGACTTGACTCATGAAGATCAGCTGTGACTTGACTTGACTCATGAAGATCAGCTGTGGCTGTGACTTGACTCAGGAAGATCAGCTGTGGCTGTGACTTGACTCAGGAAGATCAGCTGTGACTAGACTTGACTCAGGAAGATCAGCGGTGACTAGACCTGGCTCATGATAATGAATTGTAACTTGACTTGACTCATGACGATCAACTGTGACTTGACTAGACTCATAACTATCAGCTGTGACTTGACTAGACTTATGATCATAAACTGTGACTTGATTTGCCCCATGACGATCAACTGTGACTTGACTAGACTCATAACTATCAGCTGTGACTTGACTAGACTTATGATCATAAACTGTGACTTGATTTGCCCCATGACGATCAACTGTGACTTGACTAGACTCATAACTATCAACTGTGACTTGACTAGACTCGTGATCATAAACTGTGACTTGATGGGGCGCTGTTGTGTCCGCCATTTTGTGATCAAGCTCCTCTGTCGCCGCCATTTTGTGAACGCAATCTAGTGCGGAGGCCATTACAGGAGTAAGTGTGGGGTTGCGTTCCTCCGCGATACCCACAGTGAATAAAGAGCAAACAGTCAACAAGGCAAAGTCCAAAAAACAACTCAGTGATGAATGCGGACCCTCGAGAATGAGTTTAGATTTTAGTGGCTGATTAATACCCTCACAGAAAAAGTCTATCAACACATAATCCGGGAAATCAGAGTAATAAGCAATGTCCAGATATTCTTGAATGTAAGTCTCAATCAAGCGTGTGCCCTCCTCGAGGGCTAACAACAGCCTTGCAGTGTCCATACCTGGCCAATGTCCACTTGAAAAGCCGCTGGATCCTTGTGTGGCCGAGTATTCTGTAACGGGGCTGACGAGACGTGAGACGTGCGGTTCCATTCGCAAAGCTTTATTGTGGAGATGACAGAGACGTGGTCATAAAGCAGGCAGGGTCAAACAGAGGCAGACAGGTATATGGCGGGCAAGACACAAGAATAATCCTAGGGCTAGCGTGGGTCGATGAACTGCAGACAGAATCAGAAGGGGCAAGACTAAGGGAGAAATCTGCAATCAGTGCAATGGATGATGGGATATGTAGTCCAGGGTGATGTGCAACAGTGTGTAGTGCGAGAGTCAATGAAATCGGAAAGGGTGACCTCTGATGGCTAGCAGAAGGAAGTTCATGGACCGGATTCGTGACACAAATATATTCAGATGTACGTCTACAAACACTCAATCAGAGCGAGAGAGTTTGTACTGTATCTATCATGTCAGATATTTAAATGAATAATGTATGTGCATTTATATCAATCATTTTTACTACGTACTTTTAAATGCAATTATTTGTCATTTATTCTTAAATAAATGTATAGGCTACCTTAAATGCACTGAAAGTTGCTTTGACTAAAAGTGTCTTCCACATAAATAACTGTAAATTGCATTAGTATTTATATCTGCACCAAGAAAATGTAAGTTATTAGACTATGTTTGTAAAAGTGTATAACGCATTTATTGTAAGATATATATTTTAATACACTAAAACCGAAACCAAACACACACATCATAAGCCATCTTCATTTTGGGATGCTTTTAAAACACTATTGAAGATATGTGCTGGACATGCAATGGTGTAAGAAGAACATGATATTTATATTTAAAGCACAAGTTTTAAAGGAATAGTTCACCTAAAATGAAAATTTGCTAAAACTTTACTCACCCTCAGGTCATCTAAGATGTAGATGAGTTTGTTTCTTCATCAGATTTGGAGAAATGTAGCATTACATCACTTGCTCAGCAATGGATGCTCTGCAGTGAATGGGTGCCGTCAGAATGAGACTCCAAACAGCTGATAAAAACATCACAAAAATCCACAAGTAATCCACACCACTCCAGTCCATCAGTTAATGACTTGCAAAGGCATCTCCTATCATCTCTCACATCAAAATCCACCCAAATATATGTTTTTGCTTGTAAACAGTGCTTGATCTGTGCTTATTTTCTCCCTTGATTCAGACGAGACAACTTCTTCACTAAAGGAAGACTCGTATTTTAGCCAGAAGCAGCAGTTTGAAGTTAAAAATATCTTAATGGATTTGTTTCATACAAAAACGCAGTTTTTCTCTTCACAAGACATTAACTGATGGACTGGAGTGGTGTGGATTACTTGTGGATTATTGTGATGTTTTTATCAGCTGTTTGGACTCTCATTCTGACGGCACCCATTCACTGCAGAGCATCCATTGCTGAGCAAGTCACATAACACTAAATTTCTTCAAATATATTCTGATGCAGAAACAAACTCATAAGAGGGTGAGTAAATTGTCAGCATATTTTCATGGTTGGGTCAACTATTCCTTTAACCAAAATGAATACACACAACCAGAGTGATTTAGTTCCTCTCATTAAACTTTATTTTGTGACCAGCCACCAGCATATGTGACCATGGACCACAAAACCAGTCATAATGGTCCATTTTTTTAAATTAAGATTTATACATAATCTGAAAGCTTAATAAATAAGGTTTGTTAGGATAAGACAATATTTGGCTGAGATACAACTATTTGAAAATCTGGAATCTGAGGGTGTAAAAAATCGAAATATTAAGAAAATCTCCTCTAAAGTTGTCCAAATTAAGTTCTTAGCAATGCATATAACTAATCAAAAATTAAGTTTTGATATATTTACGGTAGGAAATTTACAAAATATCTTCATGGAACATGATCGTTACTTAATGAGTTTTGGCATAAAATAAAAATCAATCATTTTGACCCATACAATGTATTTTTGGCTATTGCTACAAATATACATGTGTTACTTATGACTGGTTTTGTGCTCCAGGGTCACATATCACAAAAGCAGATTATACAGTATACTAAAGACTCCATGAAATGGTCAAACCTGCCACTTACACTCCTCCCCCTGAGTTCAGACTGAAGCAGAGTTAGTTCACATGGAGGAGGAGTATCACAGACGCTCATCTAGTGAATGAGAGCCGCACACACACACACACACACACACAGAATTAGTCTCTCACAGGAGACCTTCACCAGCAGACTGTGTTTGGAGTATAACGGGACTTTCACGTCTTCGGTTTGCTGAACAAGATCTTTGGAGGGCAGGATGGAAAACACATGTGAGGTAAGTGAATTGACCCCGCTCTCAGATTACCTTCATGCATGCACCAAACTCACCATGCAACATATGAGTTTTGGCATAAAATAAAAATCAATCATTTTGACCCATACAATGTATTTTTGGCT